TTTTTGGGAATAGTTTATCATTTCTATCCAAAACAAAATTGGACAGATTGGTTATTGAATGGAATATCTGTTTTTTGAACGCATCAATAAAAATAAATATTACTTACCACTTAATTTTAATTATCAAACGTTTTTTTCCTTTCTTTTGAAATGATTTTTTCCAATTATTTATTCATTAAAATAATAAGTAAATTTTACACTTAAATTATTTGTATTTTAAACAACTGTGCATCTGTTATAAGAAAAAAAATGATTAATTAGTTCCAGCTGTTGTTCATTCCTTATTGTTGAACTTAAAGACTTACACTTTTGTTATTCAAAAAAGTTTGCTTCTCATTTCTCTCGTCCGTACTTTCACATAATATACTTTGAAGGTTTCTTTTTTTTTTTTACTTAATTGCTCATTCGTTTTTTTTCTATTTCTTTTTTTGTCGTTTTTTTCCCCCCAAAATTTTTATATAATTCATTTGTTTTTTATTTTTTGCTCTATTTTTCTGTTTTAGCAAACGATAATTCAAAATCTGTATTTTCTTAACATTTAGCACGTATGGAACGTAACAAAAATAATTTAAATCGTGTTAAAATTAAAAATGGCTTTTTACAAGTTTGGAAAGATTAAATATTTGGCATTTAAAAATGCTGATAATGATGATAAGAGTGAAAAAAAAACAAAGGAAAAGATTTATAATTTCGAGGTTTTTTCTTAAGAAGGAAAAGAAAACAAATTTAAGATATTTTAAAGTTATTTGAAATAAAAGGAAGAGTTGTTTTAAATTAAAAAATCGGTTTTTTTTTTTTAAATTTCAATACTGAAAATAAATCAAAATTTTCCCAACAATTGCAATTATAAGAAAAGGAATTAAAAGGAGAGATTAGGAAATGAATTCAAATGTGCGAGAAATAATGATGTGTTTCTTTTCATTCCATAAATTATCATAAAAATGAATTTGAAGTATTGTTAGGAGAAATATTTCTTGTTGAAATACAGTTTAAATCACCTTCGTTTTAATAATATAAAAATATCATATATTTTTATGTATGAAATGGTATAAATGCTACATTTAGTATAACGAAATATAACAAAAGCAAGAAAAAAAAAACAATAAATTATGGATTGTTGCATTTAGACGAAACAAATTTTTTAGCAATAACAAAAGAATGAATGTTTATGCAAATTTTAAAGAATTTATTTTTGCATTTTGAAATTTTATTCATTCTTTTTTTTTTTCTCCTCTTACAATTTTCTTTTATTACAATATATTTTGATGTCATTTTTGCAGTTTCTTGTTGATTGATTACTATTCCACAATGATGACAGCATTTTTTTTGTGGAAAATTCATCATGATATGAAAGCGTTTCCTATCATTTCTTATCACTTTTTTCTCCTTCTCTCTTTTTTTCTTTCTTTTGAAAAATGTGGAACATTACCAAAATATTTGAAGGGCATATTTTCATGTTGTAATTTCAGCATCAATAATAAAATTCATCGAAATCTCGTGATGTAATATACATCACTATTTCGTTATATTAGCTCAGATTATTTTCATACATTTTTTTTTTTTTGCAGAAAAGCTTTGTTGTTGTTGCCGTTTTTTTTTTTTTTGATATAGATAATAAAATAGTTTCATTTCAGGTGTAAATTTTGTATACATCACATTTGTTCGAAAAATTCTAACGAAAATTGAATGCAAAATACGTGAAAATAGGAAGGACAACGGAACGGATGAAACGAAGATGTCATCAAGAATGCAACATGTAATTACCAATGATAATCCAGAAACTCTAGCAATATCACAATATTATGCTAATTATTGTAATTCAATAAGTACAACAATATCGCTAACAACAACAACAGCAACAACAACAACAGCAACAACAAC